AGAGTAGAGATGGCTACAAAACAGAGTTAAAATCTAAAGGGGGAAACTGTGAAGCCCAAAAGCTGGTGTTCTGAAAACATCAAATCAGAATTAACAAACATTTAGCTAGATTGACAGGAAATACAAGTAAAAAGAAAAAAAATACAGAGAAAAGAATGAGACCATTTACCATTTAACCCAGGAATGAGGAGTACGGGAATCAGTGCTGCTCTTGCAGAAGAGAGTGACTGTGAAGGGCTCTTTCAACACACGGTTGTCAAAGTTAGGTGAATTATTTGAAATGAAAATTCCCTAGATATATTAATGTCAACCCTTGTGTGGAATTAGTAGTTAGTCAGGTGTGGCATTTAGTTCGAGCTACTCAGGAAGCTGAGGCCGGGGGATGCTTGAGCCCAGGTGTCTGAGGTCATGCTGAGCAGCATGAAGGATCCCACTCTGGAAAAAAAAAATAACAGGAAGGATGGGAGAGAATGAAGGGAAGGTGGAGGACAGGGCTCTAAATCCAATCACCACTTTCCTTGGAAGAAACAGGAGAAAGAGGCAGGGGCACATAGCAAGCTTTGTAGCTACAGATGCAAAGATCTGAATTAGGAAGCTGTGAGTCAAGGCAACCCCTGGGTCATCAAGAGCTGGAGGAGACAAGGGAAAGTTCTTTGGGGGAGCCTACAGGAGAGCCTGACTTTGCCAACAGCTGCATTTTCATTTCCCTTTATCTTCAGAGCTGTGGTGTCAGCCCACCCAAATCCTGGTAATTTATTACAGAGCCCTAGGAAGTTAGTAGGATTCGCCTTTGCTTCCTCATTTCCAATCACACAGCTGGGGCTCCCACAGTGTAATACACTGTATTTCACTGACTTCTGGGTTCTAGGACAGTGACAATGAAGCTGAAATTGGTTACACATCAGGAGACTCTCAGTTGGAGCATGTTTATTTCCATGTAAAGCCCCCAGATAATTGGAAGAAGGCAGAATTCAAGAGCCTGGAATGGAGGTCCAGAATTCGCAGAGTCCTGTCTTGGCAATCATTTTCACTAGGGTATGTCCTTCACTGGTAGTTGCTGAGTGGACCCCACGGCAGGGCTAACAAACATGCCCAAAGCTAGGTGTGGCTCAGCAGGAGAATGCTCCCTAACTTCCATCCCCAGTAGTGCAAGGAGAAAACCACAGGCCCTGCTGGGCATGTACCCACTCTTCTCCCAGAGTTAGGAGTCTGCCCGTATGGGACCAGACACACCTGACTGCAGTTTCTTGACTGGCATTGGATGTAGGGCCCAGCTTCATTGCTCCATTTTCTCATCGGCCTTAACTTCCCAGCTCTGTGCACAGGGGAGGATCCAAGGGGAAGGAAAATGGAAGTGGTGCTGACTATGACCCAGTTCGGAAAGGACTCTAAAGCATTCAATGTATAAAGTATTCATGGCTCTAAAAGCCTTTCCAGGGATTTGAGAATGTTTGCTTAGAACCAGTTGGATCCAGATTGGAATTCTAGCTCAGCCACTTTCCAGCTCTGAGGGAGTTTTAGGAAAGTTATTTAACCTCCTGGATTGTCACTGTATTCACTTCCAAAGCGATGCCTTATCTCACAGTAGCAATGGCTGGGAGATTAACAGAAAGAATTCAAAGGATGTTATGGTGACTGGAGCACAGGAAATGCTCAGTGCTGTTGAGGAGCACATCAAGGTTTACCTTGCCACTCTGAGGGCTCCTTGCTTTATTCCACCCGATTCCTGAAGCTCACCCCTTTCCTCAGGTTTCCAGGATAGTAGATGTGCATGATATGGCCAATTTGAGTTCCTTCTACGATTGGCAATTAGCAATTTCATGTTTCTTCTGTGACTCCAAATCACCACTATTTTCATTAACTTGGTGTATTGGTTTCTTTTCATGCATACAGTGGGACTGGTGAGCATGCTGGACGTCTTCTGAAGTTCAGCGTTAGTACTTGTTTAAAATAGCATGTATTTTATTGATTGTGCTATCCTCTAGTGGATTCACAAATTATACATATTTAAAGGCCTTCTTCATGTACGTTTTTCATAGACATGTTGTTTTCTTGTTCTGAATTTAAATCGAATTGACAACTGGAAAGAAGTCTGCAGGATATTCATTCATGCATTTCTGCGTCAAAAAAAATTCCTCAGTCTTCAAAAAGACACACATACAGTCTTATATAACTATGTCCAAAGTGCTCCCTTATTTTTAGGGCAGAGCAAGGTAATGAATGCATTTTGCAAGCAAGAAAATAAAATCTTAGCAATAATTTTTTATAATACAAGTTTCATGTAACTTTTTAATCCAGGATAATATTCTGATTGATGTTACTGTTTATAAATTTTTAAAAAAGCAAGCAGTTTCAAAAATTTTATTGTATTCCAACTTTCTAATGTATTGGCTGTAAGAATGTCTTCTATTTTATGCCCTTTCCTCCTTCTTTGCCTCACTGGGGATGGAACCCAGGGCCTTGCACTTACTAGCATGCATTTTAACATTGACTACATCCTAGCCCTTGTCCCAGACTCTCTGGGCAGCCCCAATTAGCTTTAAATACAAGACACTCCTTTTTCAGTCTCCTAAGTGCTGAGATTGCAAGTGTGCATCCTAACTCCAGCTAAGCATGTTTTATCTATTTGTTTTAGTTGCTTTTAATTTAGGGATGCAGGGTTTTATTTACACTCATCCAAGGCTTGACTGAAGTTCGTTGCATAGCTGAGAATGACCTTGAACTTCTGATAGCCCTGCCGCCACCACAAGATTTCCGAGGTTATAGATAAGTACCACGACGCTCAGTTTATACAGCACTGCAGATTGCTCCAAGGGCCTTTCACAGGCTGGGTAAGTGCTCTCCCAACTCAAAGACACCCTGAGTACTTTGAATTTCTTTTTTAAAGTATTGATGTAAAGTGACTGAGGACAATGTCTTCAGAAACGTAGAAAACCACCTGTGGCTACCCTGCTTCCAGACTTGGCATTGTATGTTTCTGTGACTCCCAGAGAATTATGCACCTGATCCTGTTTTCTTTCCATCGGTGGACGATGTCTAAGCACAGACCCACATTTCTTGCTCCCACTTGAAAAGGTCAGGGACCCAAGGATAAGCTGCGGAAGTAAAGAAAAGCATTTGGTAAAAGCAGGGAAGGCAGACAATGTTTCGAAAGTGTTAACAAGGAACAAGGAAGGTGAAGGTGGGAAGAGGCAAAGAAGGGAAGAGAAGCCTTGCTGCTTCATTGTTAGCCAGCCTTTCCTGCCCGGAGCTGCCCCATCATTCTGACCGCATCAACAACATAGCTAAACAAGACCTGAATCCTAGGGTAGAATTATGAAGTAATGCCTGGGAATAGCAGGGGAAATGTGCAATTCCTATTAAGAATTATTTTATTAGTTTTGTTCCCTCCCCCCTCTGTCCTCTGTGGTGTGTGTGTGTGTGTGTGTGTGTGCGCGCGCGCGTGCGCGCGTGTGTGATGTGTATGCACAGATATATCTGAGAGGGGAAAGTGGTCAAAAGCTCCCATCTCTAAACAAGAAGTTTTCCCCAATTGATAACTGCTCTCAAAAGAAAAACATTAGTCTTCTCCCATGGAGTCTCCCTGTGAATATAAACTATGTTTAAGGGCAGGCAGGCTCCATGCCCAGAACTCGACACCAACACAAAATAATCTCAAGGGCAGTTTGGGAGGTTCTTTGTCACACAGTGCTCTGTTGGGGTTCTTTGTCCGTGTAGGTCCTTGTGGTATATGTTATGATTTCCAGTTCTGTGTTTTTACGGATTTTCTTTGTGTGTGAATTTTGTGTCTCTGCACCTATGCGTTTCCTAGTGCCTTTTCCTTGGCTTTTTTTCTTCTGTTTGCCTGCTCAGCACCTTTACCTTAGAGATGCTACGGGTGTCAAGAGCTGCGAGCGCTCTTGCTCATTTGTACAAGCTAGCACGTGCACACTGTGTTTAGAAGTGTTGCTTGGCAACCGTGCTTTTCCCAACTGTATAAGGCTCTGGTTGGGAGACGGTTAAGTCCTGAGGCCCTCTGTGCAAATGTTGCTGGCTAGTCTTGTTTTTTACTAAGACCTAATATTGGGCTGGGGAACCAGAAAAGATGAAAACCTGGGAAGGGATGTGAAGCCAATGGCTTTTGCCAAGAAGTTCTTTAGGGTTAGGGAAAAGACACCTTTTGGTTTCTGTGATGGTCCTCAAACGACTATCTCTGAGTTTCTCTTTGGTGAATGTCCCAACTATCCAAAATACCATACAACATACAGACCCGTGGGGCAGATCCACCGGGTTGCCGCTGAGGGAGATGCGGGCCGGATAGAGGTTCTCATCATGCTTGGACAGTGCAGCGTGTTCGACAGAGACCACAAGAACAGGTGATGGGGGAGGAAGGGCGGGCACCCGGGCAACCCAGTGTGGAGAAGGTCTGTCTCTTTATTTGGCTTCCCCGAGAACTTGGGTGGGCAGTGACGGATGGGGATCTGCCTGTACTTTTGGGGCTCTGCACCTGACAACCTGTGCATCTGAGAGGGGTCCTGAGTTGCCACACAGGAACTTTAATTACCCTCCCCCCCAATCTCCTTCTGAGTACTTCAACAGAGCTGGCAAGCAGAGATCTGCCAATTGTGTCTGCTGTCTTCAAACGCCAAAGTACTGAGGTCCCTGTGGCTGGAGAGTCGCGGCTTTCACAGAGACCTAGTATTGGTTGGGGTCTGAGGGTGAAGTGAATGAAGCCTGTGTTTTATTCACAGCATACACACGGATCTTTGACGCCACGTTAAGAAAAGGGACACGTGTTGAGGTGCTGGCACCACACAGAGATCTTCCGTGCTGGTGGTGAAAAAATAGCAGTTCCTCTCACTTCTTTCTTTCCGCTTCTTGTTCTTCGGTTTCCTCTTCATTTCCTTCTCTCTTTTCCTTTTCCTCCTTCTCTCTCTTTTCCTTTTCCTCCTCCCTCTTTTCTTCTTCTCCCTCTTTGCCCTCCTTTCCCCTCCTATTCCTGTTCCTCCTCCACTCTCTTGACCTTTTCTCCTCCTTCCGACTTCCTCTCTGGGGGGCTTCTTATAACAGTGTCCTATGACCTGCCATCTGTTTATGAAGCAGAATTGGAATTTATTAGAAAATTAAACAGATGCAAACACAGAGATTAATAGAGGACACTCTTACCCAAGTTAGGCAGGTCAGTCAAGGGCTGGGTGCAAGAGAATTACCTGGATATCCTTTTTTTTTTTGTTTCTAATTTTATGGATTAGGAAATTGAGGCATAGGAAAAGTGAGAGGTACCTAGCAAGTGACTTAGCTCAGAGTAGGATTAAACCCAAGGGGAATTTAATTCAAAGGTGATGCTTCTCTTTCTTTCTTTCTTTCTTTCTTTCTTTCTTTCTTTCTTTCTTTCCTTCCTTCCTTCCTTCCTTCCTTCTTTCTTTCTTTCTTTCTTTCATGAAATGTTTCATGAAATTTCATGAATTTCATGAAATGTTTTTTTCATGCACTCAGATCAAGCTTTCCCCTCCCCAGCTGCCCTCAGATGTTCTCCATCTCCCCACCTACCCAATCCATACCCTTTCTTTTTTTTAAAAACCAAACCAGAAAACAACCCCCAAGCCTCAAGACACACACAGAATAAGCCCCATAAAAACATGAAAATGGGAACCAAAATACACAAAGAAAGGAAAAGAGACAAAAATCATTTTGGATCTAGCTATGCTTTTTTTTCTGTCCAAACAACCTGTCTTGGGCAATTCAAATGAGCAACTCTATGGCAGAGCACTCATCTAGAGGAAGGAGGTCATGTGATCTATCCAAGGCTCACCTATAATTGCATGAATAGTTGTGGATTTTGAGACAGTGCTCTACACCATCAGAAGAGCTCCTCTCGTTTCCACAGGACGGCTTTGCATTTTGCCTGTGTCTATGGCCGACTACCAGTGGTGCACGTTCTATTGAAAAACAACAGTGAGATCGATGCTCTTGACCAGAACCAAATCACACCGCTGATGAAGGTAGGTAGCAGGCATTAATTTCTGCATAAGCTAGGTGTGATCGAAGGGTCTATGCCAGAAAGACTGCTACCTCCATGGACAGGTAGCTTGCTGATGAAAATTGTGGGATGTTTACCTTGAATTCCTTGAGCTGACAGTTTACTTTTCTGTTATAAAATACAGTCTGTCCAATGCTGGAAACAGAAGTGTGCGGCTGTTCTCCTGGAGCATGGTGCTGATCCGAACATTCGGGATAGCAGGGGCAACTGCTCCCTGCACTATGCTGTGTACAATGGGCATGAAGACATGGCCGCACTACTGCTCGAATACCACGCTGATATCGAACAAAAGACCAAAGTACAGTTCACCACATTTTAATCCTAATATGTCTGAAGTATATGTTTTAATAGTGGCAAAGCTGGGGGGGTCAACATTTCATATTTAGAAATCTAAGCATTTCCTGAGTGAAAATAATTGGAAAGGGACTCAACTGTCGAAGATGTGAATCTAACATCTGTACTTAGAAAGAAACCATTTGATGCACAACTTTCTTTTACACATTTAATGTGAAATATTTGAGAAACCACTGAATCTGGTGGAGGTAAAACGTCCTCATTTTTATCTTTTTCCTCATCATTTCCCTTGACCTTACCAAAGCTGCCAGAGTAAACAGCAAAGTTTACTTTGGGTATGGCTCCATCTTAAAACTCGAAGACAACGAACCAAAGCACTTTTGTAAAATGGAAATCGTGATGCTCTTGACAAACTATTGTCAAGTGACCTAAGGCTGAAGAAGAAAAGATGCGGAGGGAAATTAATCAGAAATGTGCACCTGGAAATTAGAATTAAATTAGAAATTTAATTCTGAAGGAATAAAGCAAGAGGAATTAAAAATAAATCAGTTATTGTATGCTTATATGGTGTTTCTCCATGTTGAAGGTAGTAATTCATTAGTTTGAGCAAGAAAAGTATTTAATTACGAACATGTCTAGGGGTCAGTTGGGGACTCTGGAGAAATGAGACTGGTAGTAACTAAGCAATAATTATGTGAAAAGCTAGAGGAGGATCAAACAATTTGCTAGTATATTTTCTGGAAGAGACATCCACTTAGGTAAAGACTATACCCTGTTTTCAAGTCGACCATTGCTTGCTGGGTGAGAGGCTATTTGAGTTTGCTTTTTCTTATATTGAAATTTTGTTGTGTTCTGAGTAATGTGTTTGGTATCATGTTTCCTGTTTTTAGTGATTGAGTCCTTTTAGTCAGAATAATGAAGGGAATTATCCATATCCATATAGACAAACTGAAGTTCTGTTTGCATGGCTCTAATTCTCAGAGGTAGTTGTGTGGATTTTGATCCAGTACATCTAATAAGTAATGGGCCTGAATCTCTAAAAACATTTCATTGGAATTCTGAAATAACTTGTAGCTTAGGAAAGAAACCTCAAATAGATAGTTCTAAAACCCTGACATCTCTAGAGGGTCTAGAATTTGATTAGATGTGGTTAGGTGCTACTTCCTGCCAATGTGTCTTTCCCAATAATGCTACACTAACTTTCCTTTTACCTTTGTGTTGAGAAGCAAACTATGAAGTATTATCAAGTAGTTTCATTTCCATCTCTATGACAAAATACCTGACAGAAAAGCAACCTCAGGAAGAAGGGGTGTATTTTAGCTCACAGTTCTAGGACCAGAATTTCTGGGAAGTCACTGCATCAGATGCTTGAGTCAGCTGGTCCTGTAACATCTATAGTCAAAAGCAGAGTGAAGGGAATGCATGGATATTCACTTGCTTGTGCAGAACTTGAATTCTTCACTCTTCTACAGTTCTGGAGCCTCTAACTAGGGAATGGTGGCAGCCACAGTAGGCTAGGTCTTTCCACATTAATTAAGATAATCTGCCATAGACACACACACAGGCCAACCCAATGTAAGCACTCCCTCCCTGAGATTCTATTCCTGGGTGAGTCTAAGTTGTGCTAAGCTAACGGTCTAAGCTAATCGTCACAATCAGCAATGACTACTGGCTTACAGAATAAACCACTTTTCTTATAGCTGTCAATAATAATTCACTACTTAGAAGGTCTCCAACAATTTAGTAAGTAGAGGCTGTGTTTTTTAAAAGGTTTCTTGCCACCACATTATTCAAGTTAACAGAGCCCAAGATGCGAATTACAAGCAGGGTTTCTCTTTCAGAAGATGGGAAACTGTAACATGAGGGGGCCTGCTTGTTGGGGTTTCTATCCCTCCCGATACCCCACAGCCAGAAAATCCCAAAGAAAATCAATCAGAGCCTACATTAGGCTATAAACTGATTGGCCCCTAGCTCTGGCTACTTATTAGTTCTTATAACATATATTACCCCATTATCCTTATCTACGTTAGCCATATGGCTTGGTACCTTTTTCAGCTGTCAGCTCACATGTTGCTTCTTTGGTGGTCTGGGCAGGAATAGCGGAGGAAATTTCCTGCTTCCCAGAATATTCCTGTTCTCATTGCCCTGCCTCTACTTCCTGTCTGGTTGACCCACCTATACTTCCTGCCTGGCCAATCAGCATTTTATTAAAATACATGATTGACAGAATACAGATAATTCTCCCACACCAGGAAACCATGAATCACCTTGTCTGGTGCCAATCTCAGTGAAGGTGTTCAGTTGATAGAGTCCTGGCATTATCAATCTGGCATTGTAAGCACATGTGCACACTTATGTGCACACGCGCGCGCGCACACACACACACACACACACACACACACATTACAAAGACCACAGGAATCATCTAACTTCAGCTTCTATGTGACTAGTAATTATTTTGTGAACACCAGGAGAATTGAATACAAGTGGAATATAAATTATCAAGGACAGGAAGAACTAAGCATTACAAAGTTTATTTATTTTGAGACAGGGTTTCTCTGTAGCTTTGGATCCTGGAACTCACTCTTGTAGACCAGGCTAGCCTCGAACTCAGAGAGATTCGCCTGCCTCTGCTTCCCTAGTGCTGGGATTAAAGGTGTGTGCCACCATTGCCTGGCATTTTTTGTTTTTTGATTACATTTTGGGAGATTGATCTTTCTAAAACATACTTGCTTTGTACAGAGTCACTGGAACACCCCCCCCCCCCAGCAACAATGAAAGCACAGAGAAAATGGGCTCATGGGCTCAAAGAGGCTTTGGCTATGCTGAATTTTCTTCGTGACTTGAACCCACAGTTGAGCTTCAGAAGATCTCTGCAAAACCCTGAACTTCACATTGCTCCCTAAAGAATTAAGCCCTGTCTCACCTGAGACTTGTATGTTGGGTGCCCATGAGGAAGGCAGCCATATTGTCTTAGGTCCAAGTTTACTTACTTTAAAATCTTTCTATAGAAACAAAAATTTTGGCCATTGACTCACTAACTTATGAACATCCTTTGCCATTGTGTGGGGTTTGGTTTCTTGATGTAAAGAAAATGCAGCCCCTATCCTTAAGAAGCTTTTTAGCTTATCTGGGAGCAATCACATGATTTCAAATAATGAATGCTGTAACAGAAACAAATATTTGAGGCAGCAACATAGGTTTGAAATGGGCACCCAGAAGGGTTATGTTTATGTGAACACTCTTGGCAGGAGAGGAGATGTCACAGAAAGGGAACAGAGGAAGTGAATGGCAGCACTGTTAGAAGGAAGGATGGCTTAACCCCTGTGATTTCATGCTTTAATCGCATGTTTTTATTTGTATGGCCCTCTATAAGACTTGTAGGTAAGCTGAAAACATGTACCTTTTTGAATTACAGATTGGTTTTGTTGTTTTACAGGATGGCTTCACACCGCTTTTGCTGGCACTCAGAGAAAAGAGGGTAGAGGTGGCAGAATTTTTAGTTAAAAAAGGAGCAGACATACATGTTGTAGATGACAAGCAAAGGTAAAATCATTTGAACGAAAAAGAAATAGAACATCAGTAGTGTTCTGGACTAGTAACAACCACTCAGTTCAGAAGCATGGCTGGGTGGAGGAAGAGAAGTAACTTACAAGGATACAGTGAACACAGACACAGGCATCCGTTTAGTCTGTCAGAGAAGAAAGCAATTGTTTGAAGTGAACTGTACAAATAATGTATATCTTTTATTTGTGCAAACACGTCTCTGTGTGTGAGTCACACTGCCCCATAGTACTGACTGAAGACTGCTATTTGTAAGCTGACTTTGTTGGTTGTCTGATCTTAGAAACTTAGGAGCTAAGGAGCTAAATGAGTTTCATTTGTTTTCAAAATGTATGAGCTAGAGGTATGAGTTTTTTGATCCACAGTAAGATTGTTAACCATCTTATGGTATTTCTTTTTTTATTTTTTAGATTTTCTTTTTACTTATTTAACTTAATTAAAACACTTTATTAACTCTTTGAGAACTCACATCATGTATTTTGATTGTGCTCACCTCAGCTGTCCACCTTAACTCCTGTCTGTTCATCCCTCACCTTCCACCCTAACTTTGTGTCCTCTTGTTTAAAAAAATTAATAACATATCTACTCCAGGTTGTGCTGCCCACATACTTCTAGATGTGGTGCCATCCATGAGAGCTTGGTTGACATATCGGGAGACACACCGTTAAAGATATCTGATTCTCCCTCCCCTGGAAGCCATCAACTGTCAGCAGTTCTTTAGCTAGGAGTAGGGGATCCCCAACCCATGCTAAGAGGTTGCTGGTGATTGGCTTGATCTTGTGTAGGCAGCCCCAGCTGACCTTGAGCATAGCAGACTTGCCATGACCATACTCCACTCCTTCTCAACCTCTGGCTCGTACATCCTTCCTGCATCCTCTTCCCGATGGTCCATAAGCCTTGAGGAAGGGATGTGATGTAGATGTCTCTTCAGCCACCTATTCTCTGCATTTTGACCCGTTGTGAGTTCTGCATTAACCATCATTTACCACACAAGAAAAGTTCTCTAAAGAGGTCTCAGATATTACAGTCTTCACATTTCCTTCTTGTATGTTTTAAGACACTATATTCAGCCAAATAGGAGTCAGAAATTATAGGATGTGGAATGGCTCTTAGGATTTCCTTTCTTTGTAGAATATTAATGTCAGTGAATATTAGTTGTTATTATTAAATGCTCATTTCCCCATTTCTCCTCTCTGATTCATTTTAACCATTTATATTTACTTGCCATTGAAAAGGAGATAAAAATGTTAATTGGATAAAATTTATTGAAGATAAGTCATAAGTGAATGATAAAAGGGGAGACTTCAGGTTCATTCAAGACTGGATTTAATTCTCAGTCTATCCAGTTGCTTGGTATGTCTTCTTCAGAATGATGCTCATGGCCAAATATATCTCCTGATGTGAAACAGATAACACCCTTGATAAGTGGTTATAGGGTTTATTTACATATCCATTAGTTCAATGAACAGTACATGGTCATCAATATCATTAACTGAGAGCACTATGAATTTTATTATCATTACTTCCATATTACTAACATTCTAAGCATGCACATAGCTTTGAGTTACTTCATCTTCAGATAATTAAGAGCTGTAATATATTCCATTAGTCTAGGAAAATGTGAACTCTTCCTTTACTTCAAATGCAAGACCTTAACATAGCAATTTGTTTTTAAAGGTCAGGAGGTCAGAAATTCTACTCCAAAGTAGATCAAGGGAAAAAGATATTTATTCTTTATCCTGGGAGACAGACTCACAATGAGGAACAGTTGTGGGTCCAAGATGCTATGGCTGTTAGAAAATGGTCAATTCTACACAGGCAGGCGAGATACTAAGTTGATAAGACAAATCTATGTAGATTTAACTAATTTCATTTATTTCATAATAGTGAATCTATCCTTCTGCTATTTCAGAAACACCTTGATGTATGCTATACGATGTGAATCAAAAGATATAGCCATGTTACTCCTTCAAAAAGGCATTGATTTCTTCTACAAGGATGTCTTTGGATGGACAGCATTACGCTACGCCATCGAAGGTCACTGTACTTTGTAAGTATTTCCATTGACATGTTAATTACAATTATATTGACGTTCAAAATCAAATGCAACTCTTACATCATCGGGTTGTGGCATCATTGCACTGTGTGGGTAGTTTTTGAACGACAGTGACTTAGCCATTGTGACTTAGTTGTTGGAAGTGACTTAGTGCTGGAAGAAGTATGCCACTTGTGGAGGTGACAAACTTTGAGGTTTTGTATATGCTCAAGCCATACCCAGTGTCTCAGTTCAGTTCACTTCCTGTTGCCTTTGGACCAAGACATAGAATTCTCCCAGCACGATGTCTGCGTGCACACCACCAAACACCCAGTCGCCATGCTCCCCACCTTGGTAATGGACTAAGCCTCTGAAACTGTAAGAGATCACCTCAATTAAATGTTTTTCTTTATAAGAAAGAAACAAAAAAGAGTATCTATTTTTGACTTTTTTCAAGTAGCTGCTTGGATCTTGAAATGCCCAGTTTAGTAGACAGTTGTGTTGCTTTCTTGAGGGAGCTGTCTTCTGTACCCTCCTCCTTGACTTCTCAGTAGCTGGAGGGATTCTTAGGTTTGTTCAAGGAAGCCAATTTTCTTTGAAATGTCAGATGGAGAGGAAGGAAGAGGATAACCTATCATTCTTTGTTTCTGTTGGTTCCATCACTATTAATACATGCCCTGAAATTTGATAGCAGTTAATCTTAGCTACCATGTTGTCGATAGCCAGACTTCCATGCCTTTATGATAATATACACTCAGAACTGAAAGTCGCAATATCTCAAGTTCATGTGTACTTGCGTTTTTAAACTCAGCTATTATTCTCAAGTCACACTCTTCTGGCAATGGGACTTTTCTAGCTTCTACCACATACATCGTTAGCAATCTGACCTTTCCCATCCATTCAGCATCTCACATAGAAACCACCTGTTAGCTTAGACCTTTGTGATCAATTCACATTGAGAAATTTGTGTGTCTTTCTGATGACAAATATGAACTGTATAAAAGCTCAAATCATGTTGCAGAAGAATCATGAGGTTCCTCTATTGATTAATACCTGACCCCATCATATAATGTACCAGAGGTCCTATCATATTCCCTGTGCACCTTTTTCTAGGTGCTTAGATGCCCCCAACCTGTCTAGAGTTGATGTTGAGTTTTTCTTGGGCAGGCACTCAACTGATTGTCTCTCTCCTTTTGTCTATAGTAGTATCAACTTCCCAAGTTATTACAGTCCTGGTCTCATGTTTACAGAGATTTTTAAAAATTTTTTCTCACATAAAATTTTATGTGAGAAGCATGTCTCTGGATTCAAAGAACAGTTGGACTTAAGAGAGAAAGATCACATCAGGTTTCATTAGTATCTATATGCAAAAGAGAGTTTTGTTTTATGTGATTTGGAGGTAAATACGATGATTTAAAATAGGCAGGGCAGGATGAAGAGGAAAGCAAAGAATCAGGTCTTGGAATGGATTCACTTTTCAGTCATTTAATTAAAGAAGTAACATATCATGAAGTACTTCGTGCCAAACTGCTACACAATTCATTTTCTCTGAATCACAAGCTACAATACAAATTAGCTGATAATCAAAACGAGGGCTTAACATTTTCCAAACAGTTGCAATATTTGAATATTACACACATTTGGAATTTAGAAAGAACTCAACATCCGGAAATACTTTGTTGTTTTATTTTCCTGCACGTGCTTTAATACTATCCAATAAAATCTTAAAAGAAACCAACTGAACTCAAGCAGTACAGTCCTTATTTTTCCTTTTAGAATAACACTTGATGTCTGTGGGAGACAACTAGTGCAGTAGTTGGCAGCTGTTAGTTATGGAGTGGGATGTCTTCTGAGATCAGGGTACTTCACTGCTCGTGAGCCAATCCAGTCTATGCCTTAAGCTTTCTTTCTCTCATTTCACGCCCTTTTTACTTCAATTTTTCTTCTTTCATCATAGACTTAATTACAAGATTTGGAACCCATAAATTTCAAGCATGGGGCAAAAACTTCTAGTAGTGCCTCTACCATTTTCAGTGATAGCCTCTATTTAGAGACAGGGTCTCATGTGCCCCATGTAGCTTCGAGTTTGCTATGTGCCTGAGGATAAATTTGAACCTCTTGATCTTTCTGCCTCCACCTCCCACAACCTATGATTTCAGGTGTGTGCCGCTAATGTATAGTTAGGTGTGATGCTAGCGATGGAACCCCAGGCTTAGTGCTTGCCAGAAAACACTCTGTCAATGGAGCTATATCCCTAACCCCTGTAATATTCTTAAGAATCAAATATGCAAAAGCTGATTTTTAAATAAAAATGAAAATAATAATTGTATTTATTATTTTTCACATGACAGTAGACAAATGCTTCTGGATTTTGAAGGAAACATACATAATAACAAAAAGGATAATGAACCAGGTAAGTCTTATAACGAGCTGCTCTTTGCAGTCCAACCATACACAAAAATGTCGAACTAAGAAAATTTTCATTAAAAAGAGTGAAAAATTGAATTTACATTTATTTAAGTTCTTTCTAGAGAGTCTACAGTATGATCTAAGATAATAATTACATGAGGGTTACAATGAAAAGCATGACCTTGTCTCAGAAAAAAAAAATCATGTGCAGAGTCATTGAGGAAGACCCTGATATTGATCTCTGGATTTCACATGCATGTGTACATATGCACACAGACAACCCCCAAATTCATGAATATGCGTGTTTCATGGGAGAGAGCAAGAGCAAGTGTGTGTGAGAGAGAGAGAGAAAGAGAGAGACACAGAGACACACAGAGAGAGACATAGGGAGAGAAACAAATAGAAGTAATCAGCATCTTTGTTTCTGTGGAACTAGGAATTGACTCCAAGAGCTCCTGCTCTTTAGGTATAATTATATAAGTGCTGTATAATTAACTTTACCTCCAGCCCCCACGCCTATTTTTGCTCATCATCAGAAATTATAATGACAAGGAATTTTCATGTAAAAAGCCATATGCAATTATTAAATATGCTTGTTTTCATAAGATTCTTGTTGAAGGGGGGGGTCACACTGTTACATAACTCATAGTTTTTCAGCTCCAGGACCAGGTAAGGACAGAGCAGTCTGGTATTTATAAACAGAAAGAATGATGGCTTTGGGTTTAAGACCATTTCTTCTTGATGTTGATATGGCCTAGCTGGTCTCCAACATATGAATGATTGGGGAACTTGGAAGTGGTCTCTGTCTTGATGGCCTCAAAAGTCTGGACCCTGCACTCTGAGGCATGGCCATTCTTCTGCTCCGCTGTCATGTAGGGCATGCTCTGCCAGCAGAGGTTCTAGGCTTCCACCTCCAGGTGAAAGGTCTGGGGTTGCCCTTACTTCCTGATCAGGAATGTGGCCACAGAGGAGGATGCTGGTGAGGAACTTGGTGCCTCTTAGGGTACTCTTTCCTCATGCTGTTGGTTCAGATATATCATGCAGTTTGCTTGACACTCTCTGTTTATAACATAATGACAACATTTTAAGTTAGTCTCATACTAGTTTCTTAGGATTATGGTCATTGTACACACACAGAACTTTCATTAAACTTCATACATTTTTTCTTCCTCCTTGTGTTCCATAAATATTAACAACAGAAATGGTCTTAATGCACTGATTGCTCCTTCAACTGTACAATTCATATCTACTGTACAACATTGTCCTGGTGTGTTCCAAATGAATGTTCTCTAGAAAAGATGAGTCATAGATTTTAATTATCTGATACTTTTCTTCCATTTGTTTAAGATGCATTTTATATTTTTATTTAGTAGAACAAATGGATCCTGGAAATGACTCCCTGGCCAGGTAAGTTTTACATGTTGGCAAAAACTATATGTTATCTAACTGCTAGAACAGACAGATGAGAAAGAAATATTTCATCCAGCATTCTACTCTTGATGACAGCATGTTTTATATTTAAAACACTGTTCTTTATCATAATCCTCACAGTAGCCATTCAGAGTATATGTTATGATAGCTTTATTCTTCACTAAGTAGGCAGCTGCAGCTGGGATCAGATGCCTATGATTTGACTCCCACTTGGCTTGGCTCCCTCATTCATGCACTGGCTTATCCACAGGTGGGCAAGGACCTGGGTAGCCCTGAGATCTTGATAAACTCTATGTCAGATCAACAACAAAAGTAAAGTTTATATAGGAATTCCTTTAGGATATTCTTAAGAAGTGCAGATATACCCCAACAATTTGTCTAAAATTTTGATAATCACAGTGCCAGCCAGTACCCTGTCTTGAGTACCAGCAATTGTCTGGCACACCTTGCTTGGATGCACTTTGGACAATAGGAACATGCCAGGAGAGGATGTTCTTGTCGAGGAGTGACATATATCAGTATGCATAACATGTGATACATATTATATTTAACACCTTTTTAGAGGATACTTGGAAATTAATTTCCCTGCTTACTGATTTTTCATTTTTGCTTCTCCTTTAAGCTTCTATAAATACTTAGTTCAATGACGTTTTTGTTTTACCTCCTCCTCCTTCCTCTTCCTCTTCCTCCTCCTTCTTCTCTCTCTCTTTTTATGGTGACAATAACCTTTTCTCTGTAAATCAACTTTATGTTTTTTTTTCTTCCTTTGCTTCTGTTTTAAAAAATTCTGTCAACTAAAATTTTCAGAATTGTGCTCACCCATATTTGCTGCATACTTTGCTCTGTAGGATTTCCGGTTGTTCTAGTCCCAGGCTTCCTTTGCCTGTGGTGAAGGAAGACACGTGTAGCTGTGATACCAGGGTCAAATGCCCCTCTGTGGAGTGCACTTCCTTGCCCCAGGTTTGCTTTTGTTTTACTCTTAAGGTTTAGTAGTGGTCCAGATGCCATTTCAGCACATGGAAAGTCAATAAGCAGAAATAAGATTATGAGCAGCCACAGACAGCAATTGCCAATGTGGTAATCAGTGAAAAGGCCTGGCAACTACTGGGAGGCTGTGGGGAAATGGGGTGAAAATACAGAGCCCAAGAGAAATTGTATTAGCAATAGGTTTCCAATAATAGAGAATATTTGAAATATGGTCAATGATTATTTGGATAAATGTAGCTTACTGTGACTTTTATGTTAACATGACTTACAATGCCCAAGTGAATCTTTAATATACTCAGTGTGTTATTATAGTAATCAATTTCCATGATGCCTTTAGGTTCAACAGCACAGGGCATCTAGCAGAATTTTTTTCTTTACATTTTAAATTTATCTTTTAAATAAATTCATGTTTCTTGTCTTTTTGATTTTTGTTATGTTTTCTTTTAAGGACACATTGAATTTTGGTATTCTATAACCTTTTAGGAAAGTGTGTCCTCTATTTTTATCTTTGATTCTGTATTTAAACATAATAGTGTTAGAAATGTAAAAAATCTAGAACTTAAAAATCTGTTGCTCAAAGTTTGTGTTATAGGGAATATTGGGTATTTTCTAAGCCATTTTATGAGGAGTCCAAGGAAAGCTGTTTATGTGGTCAAAGTTGTTATGTTTTGCTTCAAAGTCTAGTTCTGGGGGGGATGTAGGGGAGGAGGGGAGTTGGGAGATGGGAAGAGAGGGGGAACTTGGTTTGGTATGTAAAATGAAAAAAATATTTTAAATAAAAGAATTACATTAAAAATCCAGTTCTAAATACAGAAACTCATAACAGCCACATAGTAAAAGTTTAATTTCATATTTTTTTTAGGTTATAAATACATCACTGCCCCATCCCCTTTCCCCCCTTCAAAGTCTCCCATGTACCTCCCTGTTCCCTCTTTCAAATTCATGGTCTCCTTAAAATATTGTTGTTACATTGTATCTCTGTGTGTGTTCCTTAATATACAAATATAATTTTCTCAGTCTGTACTGTGTTGCTTATATGTATCTGTTCTCAAGGATGACCATTCAGTATTGGCTAACTAATGGCCTGCTCTTCCCTGGGGAAGACTGTTTTACCCTCTCTCAGCATCCCTGAGTTGCCTGTGTTTACATATGCACACATTTAAAATGCCCCTTTGTTTCCAATGTGGAATCTCAGAGTTAGGTGCCATGCCTGTAGTTCCTCTCTGGAAGTATGCACACAAGTAAGTGTCTTGCCTATGAATATTTTTCCTACAAATTGCCTTGTCTAGTTTGCAGAATTGTTAGCCCTGTATAGGTTGCCACATAAAGACACTAAGATCGGTCTGATGTAGAGAGGCATGTATAAGGTTTGCTACTGAAACCTGAGATTTTAAAGACATCCTCCCTTTTTTGCATAATTGCTTAGAAAAAGACCAAGTCACATATCTTCAAGTGATGAAAATTTTATGCAACTAATTTTAATATTAATTTTCACAGAGTATCTCTGAGAGTGCTCCTCTGAGCCATGCTGGCAGTTTATCTTCGGCTATAGACAAAATATTTGAAAATACAGCAAAAAGAAAAGTGAAAGGTATGCTTGTTATTCCACGAAGGTCTCATTTTGGAAAATGTGGTTTATAACATGAACATTGGTAATCTAATAGCCAAATACTTTTTTTTTTTAAAAAATGGGCAACAACACCAGAGTGAAGCGAACTGCCCATAAGCTGTGTGTCATCTCAACTCTCTGAAGCACACATATTAAACTAAGAATGCTGTGTACAGGCAGTAAACTAAAGGAGGGTGACAGTTTCAAGATGTGCTTACAAGCAAGGGTCACACGTCTATAAGGAGAAGGGAATAGGCACAGGAAGTGAAGTCTAAACAGGCAGGAGGAGCAAAGGTCAATGAAGGAAGAAACAGTCAAATGTATAATCGGACTGCGGGAAAAGAAACTGATTCTTTCGAGGAAAGGACAGGGCATCAGAAACGCGAGAAAAAAAGACTATAAAGAGGTTTTCTAGGGAAAGAACTGGCTTGGAAAGTAGGGAACCTTCTCCCTGCTCTGTATCCTTCACTGCGGGAAAGATATCGATGATTGGAACACTCAACCACGAGGAGGTTGGCCTGATGCAGATGGATGAATATAAGGCTATGTGAACAGCCACACATCGACAGACTACAATGCTATGCGGAATGTTACTGCTTTACTAGATAGTATTACATAGGACAAAATTAAAGTTGGGAAGGAGGACTGTGCCCAGTTACAGGAAGTTCAGCAAAGTCATTGCCAGGCATGGTAGGGAGGAACTGCAGATTACGTTAAGAGACACCAGTTAATGTAGGGGATGTGGGAACCGACTTAGTGGAAGCCAGCGGTTGCTAAACTTCACAGAAACACGTGGCAGGTGTTAAACGGAGGCGGTTCAGGGTGCCAGGGAGCGCATTTGCAGTTAGTTCTTAGTCACCACGGGTCAGCCACCCTCTCAGGAGCTGTGTCCTACCATGGACCAAAGGCTGTTGGGTTATGAAGAGTGATGCAAGAAAATCAAGGCTGAGAATGAACGTGCTTTTGTTTCTAGAAAGCATAGAAGAAACAAAGGTAGGAAGAGACAGAAATCATGGTCCTAACGTGACACTGTTAAATAGGAAATTCAAGGTAAGAGTAATCCACAGAAAGAATGGAAAGGAGAAAGAATGAGGAGGCAAGCAGGATCAAGGGACATGACATGAAGCCCATAATAAGAAAATTAAAGAAGAGGAAGGACTGGGAGTGTGGTTCAGCCAGCAGAGGGCTTGCCTGGCATGCAGGATCCCTGTGTCCCCAGAGCCTCATAAACTGGGCACAGGCCTCTAATTAGAGCTCATAGGTGGAGGCAGAAGGATCAGGACTTTTATTCTCTGCTACATGTTGAGGTCAATGCCAGCTTGGAATATGTGGAGCCCCCCACCTCTGAGACAGACAGACAGACAGACAGACAGACAGACAAACACACACACCACAAAGGAAAAGTGAAAGAGCAAGAATAATTCTGGACAATACTGGAATTTATTAGGAAAACTTAAGCGAGCTTACTTCAGATGACTTCAAAACATGTGTGTTCAAACCAAAGACAAGATTATTGCTGCTCCTTTGCAAAGTGTTAGGTTGATGGAACGCCAAGACATAGGAACCCGTGGTCTCTCATTCACCTCTCCATAATCACCAGGCACTGAAGAGGTATGTCAAACTGATAGCAGTTATCAACAATAATAAATAATTGAAAATAGAAGAACATGCTATTCAAAATTTAAAATCATTGTTATTTTCAGTTGTTTATTTTTAAAAATTTATTTTATGATTTCTTTGTGTGTGTATGTGTGTATCTGTTTGAGTGAAGTACCAGTGGAGGCCAGAAGAGGGCACTGAGTTGTCTGGAACTGGAGTTATAGGTGGTTGTGAGATACTAGTGGATTCTGGGAGTTAAACTGAGACCCCCTGCATGCTCTTTATCACAGAGATATCTCTCTAGCCCCTACAACAATTTTTAATTCAGGGATAAAAGAATTTGTTTAATCATAGCATTTTCACAATACATCTTTATCGTGTTCATGTTTTTCCCCATGAAAATCTCTTGTCCTGACCCACCCCATCTTTTCATGTTCTCTGAGAATAATACTGTCTCTATATGCCATTTATACATATGTAGGTCTAGATGCTACACAGGAGATAAAACATGTGAGATTTGCCTCTCTGAATGTGTCTTATTTAATGTATATTACCTGTCCTTCAAATAGTTAACATAGCATTACACCATTCTAATATGGGAAATGATAAACTTTATGAGTTCCTTTGTGCCATACCAAAATTGCTATTTTTATTACATTTTGCACAGACATGTTTCTGAGTATATTTTACTCATTCTTAAATTTCTGTTCTAATCTGTGTGTCTGTGTGAAGGTCAGCCATGTCTGTCTGTGAGGGTTCCACCAGGGGTCAGAAGACAGCATTTGATCCCCTGGAGCTGGAGTCCCAGGCAATTGTGAGCCACCCAAGGTGGGCACTAGGAGCAGTGTTTGGGTTCCCTGAAAGAGAGGGAAGTGTTTTTAACCACTGAGCCATCTCTTGAGAAATGAGTATGTGTTTTGTTTAGCATATTCCAGTTGTGTTGCTGCCCAGACTTGTAATATTTCTCTAAATATTCAAATCATAGAGTAATAGTTGGAAAGCTAAGGATGAGAATTTGGTTCTATCCTCATTCTTTATGAACATATGATTGGTGTTGTATAAGCATAGAAATGATCATATTTCCCTTTGCTTTTTAGCATGGACTGAGAAAGATTTGTCCTTAAAGGTAATAAGCTTTTTATTTTTGCCTTGAATCATTACATACATCCTGTGACATATATAACACTTAAATATTCTTCCTTAAAACCTATTTAGTCTGCCACTGAAGGAAGAGAATCTGTGGCCACTGAAGTAAGAGAATTCGTGGCCACTGAAGTCAGAGAATCCTTGGCCACTGAAGTCAGAGGATCTGTGGCCACTGAAGTCGGAGATGTTACAAACGAAGTAGCAGAAAGAACAGAGCTGCTGCCATTCCTACCAGGTACATTTTGCAATGTGGATCCTGTTGGATAGGAATAGAGTGTATGAAATGCTTGCAGACTTCACCACCTGATTCTGTTCTCCCCCCAGGTTGACGGTGTGATTTGTTATAAATGTAAATGTTATGCTAGCACCCATGTTTTTTTTTTTTTTAAAAAGAGCATTTATGAGGAGTGCAAGATAAAATTTTTAAGTGTACGCTCCATGAGGTGCTTCCACTTTGTATTTCAGTGTCCCAGGCTTCCAGTGTGGGGTCTCTGCCAGAAGGATTTGCAGAGGGAGATTACGATACTCGTGTGATTTCTCCACAGTTTAGAGATGCTGTTTGGAGAACCGGGTGCAGTGCTGCACACCCGCAGTCCTAGATATTGGAAAGACTCTGCCTGGACATCCATTTGCTCAGGAGGTTTCGGACTAGTGTGCACAAAATGGCACATCGTTTGCTAAAAATTAAGAAAAGCAATTTTATTTCTACTAGGAGAATCTAGCCCATATTGAAGTCTGGATCTAAAGTGTTCCCCCCCCCCTTTTTTGTATCTGTGGAATTAGTCCTATCATTCAGTCACAAATCACTGTAACATGAGGGCCAGCTTGTTGGAGTTTCTGTCCCGCCCAGTACCCCACAACCAGCAAGCCCAAATAAAATCACTCACAAGACTTCATAAGATTATAAACTGATTGGCCCTTAGCTCTGGCTACTTATTAGCTCTTATAACATATATTACCCCATTATCCTTATCTATGTTAGTCACACGACTCAGTACCTTTTTCAGCTGGGCAGGCTACATGCTGTCTCTTCGGTGGTCTGCACAGGAATGGCGGAGGGAGCTTCCTGTTTTCCCAGAATACTCCCAGTCTCTTTGCTCCACCCTTACTTCCTGTCTGTCTTTCCTGCCTATACTGTCTGCCTGGCCAATCAGCGTTTTATTAAAATATGATTGACAGAATACAGACAATTCTCCCACATCAAATCACTAATTACAATGTCACATGATTGACTTTAGATTTTAAAGATACTTATAAAAGTGTCTTGACTGTACTTATATTTTTCTTCCTTTTGTCCCCCTCCCCGAAAAGTCCTGTTACTTACCTCTTAATTGTCAAATCACCCACAAACTCGAGAAAAACCCAGCTCAAATATTTTATTTTCATTCTGCAAAACCTCATGCCATTTACTGTCAGAATACAAAAATCATTATTGAGTAAAATCAAGAAAAACTGACTCTGTAAGAGTAATGGCAAAGATTGACAGGTCTAGCGCTGAGGTGAGAGGGAGACACGGGAGGATTAATTTACAGTTACTGGAGAGCTGAAAACCGTAACCAGGGAAGGCTCCGTGCACTAACCTGAGATTAGGAAGGAGAAATGTGCCGGCCAGTGGTGAAAACATTGTCACATGTCCGAAACAGTGTGACCACAGGCAGCAATGTATGACTTTGCTGTTATTTTGTGATCAAAATGCTTAGCAGATGGCTTTAAATGCAACATTATAAGATAAAAATTAATGTGCATTATGAATTTATTTGCTGCCAGTGTCTTTGGAAATCGTTTCTGGAGGCTTTAATCGCTTAGGACGAGTGGACGAGTGGACGAGTGAACGAGTGGATGTGCAAATCTTTAGGATGTATGGCGCCCTCTGCTGCTTATGAATAAATATACGATAACCCCTAGATTGAGAACCACTGCTTTAGACAACTAGAAACATCTAGTTCAATATAGACTTAACTGAAATTCTACTTGGAAAGCAACAATGCAATGTTATTTTTAATTGGTTTAAACAGTTCTTTTTAACATATAGACTATATTGCTTTCTATGAAGGTTATGCGATTTAATTAAATAAATGTATTTGCCCACAGAACCAGAGTTAGAATTGATATCAGTGGAGGAAGATATTCCCGATGAAAGTGAAAACAATCAGCCACTGGTAGGAAAACTTTTATTTTAAATGTCACACAGTATTGTTTTTCTTTGTTTAGTAGTATTGCATCAGGCACATGAAGTCATGTTTTTAGATTACTTGATAGAATTGATAAATCCTATCAATATATTGAACGTTTAAAACATTTTTCCCTTGTTATAAAATTTAACCTAGCAAGTTCCAGAGCAGCCAGGGCTACACAGAGAAACCCTCAAAACAAAAAATGAAACAAAACTTTAAAATATTCTTATACTCCATAATAATTTATAGCTAAACTTGAAAAAATTTGTCGTTTGAGATTTTACACAGTGTGTCTTGATCACATTCCACCAACTCCTTCCAGAGCCAGCCTGATTCCCTACCCACATCGTCTTGCACAGCCCCACCCCCTTTAACCATGCATTTATTACATCCAGTGGAGAAAGAAGAGGAACCGAAAGCTGGGTTCACAAACAACTTGGAGACATTGTGTAGACACAAATAGACGACTATAAAGCATCTCATATTTACGCCTCTGTAAAAATGGAATTTTCAGTCATGAATAAACCACCATCCATTTGCAGGCACATGCGCACTGAGGTCATTGGGGAACATGCAAGAGTTTTAAGCTGTGTTAAACTTAGAACACCACACATTAATGTTTTTTTATGAATTCAGATTGGAGTCGGCCATGTTCTTTGGAACTTTTTTCCTTGAAGAAAATGCACTTGCAGCTTCCACATGCGCATAACTTGTAGGGAGCTAGCAGAAAGGACTGTAGACTCTCCTTCCCAGGCCAAACAAATAAGTCTGATAACCTCTCAGTTGTCAGCATCTACAGAAGAGCAAAAAAGTTTCATTATTTTGACTCATCTATTCTCAAATTCTCTTAATAACTGTACGATATGATACTTACCTCCAGGACTTAGGAATGAATGCATCTTCAATTAATGCATGAAAAGTACATAGGCATCTCTCACTCCCACCCCAAGCGCACTTTCTCTACACATTCTCTAGACCTCCAAGAAATCATCTTTCTCTGAGCTTTCACAACTGTTTACTGTATTCTGTAGTTATTCCTTAAAACATACCCATCAAGCACAGTGTGCTACCCAAATATTCTTGGCTGTATGGTTATCCTTTGGGTTGTGGTAGACTTTCCAGGAGCTATACTTTGAGAGAACAAACCCTCCTCTCCAAGAATCTAACAACTGCTTATACCTCCATGTCTAGGGGTGGAATTCTGGGTCCAATTTCCCCTTCTGTGCTGGAGTTTGGTTTGGCTTAGGCTTGCACAGCCTTGTGGGTGCCGGAGTTCATAAATACAACTGTCCATACAACTGTCCCCATAGTGCCCAGAAGACACTGTTTTCTTGTATCAGCTACCACTTCTGCAATGATCCTTGAGCGTTGGAAGGAGGGTTGTGGTATACATATATATATATTCTAGGGATGAGTATTCTGCAGTCTCTGGAATTTAGTTAGCTGTGAATCTCTGGGTTAATCACCATTTACCAGAAATAGAAGCTTCTTGGATAAGGGTTTAGAGATGCATTGATCTATAAGTGTATCAACAAGTCATTAGAAATCAGTTTGAGTAGGGCGGTGGTGGCACATGCCTTTAACCTCAGTACTCAGGAGGCAGAGACAGGCGGATCTCAGTGAGTCTGAGGCCAGCCTGGTCTATAGAATGAATTCCAGGACAGGCTCCAAAGCTACAGAAAGACCCCGTCTCAACCTCCCCTCCAAAGTAGTCAGTTTGATTACTGTGTTCATTTAGCCCCATAGTAAGAGTAGACTCTTTCTAGGACCTGTGGGTAGTCTAGCCATGTGTTCTTCACCTGATAATAGTTCCAGGATATGGTTTTAATGTTGTGGAGCAGGACTTAGATTCAAGCAGAAAGTGGTTGGTTACTCTTATAATGTTTGTGCCATGATTTTATCAGTGGACACATATTTCCTGGCAGCTATTATTGTAGCGTGTAGGTTTCACAGTTGGGTAATTGATGATACTCTTTTCTCCACTAGCATGCATAGCACCTTCCAGAGCAATGAAAACTAACTAGCATGGATCAAGCTTCTGGCTCAGTACTACTTTGATTTCTTTATGTTCTATCACTCAAGTATATGGTGTCTGCAGTACTAGGGTCTCACTCCCAAGTTCTGGTAGGTAATCAAGAGCATGCCTGTATTGTCTGGCATCTATGTGGTCTCACTGATCAACAACTACATCAGAAATGTCCAATTCCTGGCACAGGGTTTTTATTAGTTAGTCTCTGGAGTCTAGTAGGGGTATTGTTGCCTCGCTACAGGCTTATATCATCTATCTGCCTGTCTACGTGTAGACATATTTATACACTGCATAAAGGTGTACTGTTGGGATTGGTGTAATAAAAAGCTGAATGTCCAATAGCTAGGCAGGAGGTATAGGTGAGGCTTCTAGGCAGAGAGAGAAAGGAGGAGGAGGGATCTAGGTGTACAAGAGAAGCGAGGAGACACAGAGGAAATAGAATGGTGGTATGCGATGGAATGCAGGTGAGTAGAAATGGGTTAATTTAAGTTATAAGAACTAGTTAAAAACAAGACTATGCTAAGGACAAGTTTTCATCACTAACAGTAAGTCTCTGTCATTATTTGTGAGCTGGTGGCCCAAAGAGAAATCCAACTATCTATCTATCTATCTATCTATCTATCTATCTATCTATCTATCTATCTATCTATCTATCTATCTATCTATC